AGGTTTGTTTCGTATAGTTCATCTGCACAAAAAATTATAACGTCTCGTACAAAATACCCGACGGGCAAGGTTTGATGAAGTTACGTTGCTACAACGTGCTTTACGTTGCCGGCAACTTAAAGCACGTTGTAGCAACGTAACTTCATCAAACCTTGCCCGTCGGGTAGTTTGGCTGCAATTTAAAGATATTCATTGATTTACAGGGCTCGATCGCTGGTGATGTTTCATGCAGGTTCCATGGCACCGTCGGAGATGTTTGCTTCACTCATTTAACGGCACTAAGAATGGGCTTGCATGGCAAAGGCTCGCTGACCCGCCAACTTTGTGTGAACCAAATGCCTTAGGACAGTTGCGCTGGTCATCGGGCCTGGTCTTGCTCCGTGACGACGTGACGGTGCGGCTGCAGACTGATTCCGAGAGTCGTTTTCGTCGCTCTGTCGCTCTCGGACCTAGACGGGACGCCCCATGAGTGCGAGAGGGACAGAGCGACGAAAACGACTCTCAGTGTACTGCATAGTTCGGAGGAGCAGAGGTCGTCGCGACACGCAGACCCACCCGCCCCCTTCTCCTCTCCGACGGTCGCGTATGCAGCACGCATGTGTGTGATAAAGTTCGGTCGGCCGGACTCTAACCTCCGCAAGTATAACAACAGAACATGCGCGTCGCTGTCAAAAAAAAGATCAGAAACAAGAGAAAAATGGTGCGGCGTGGGCCGGCCTGCCGCATTCTACACACACACACACACACACACACACACACACACACACACACACACACAGCTGGGAGGTTCGGCCCAGCCATAGTGGGGCTACGAGGTCACCTGTAATAAAGTTTAATGCAGTATCACGTACGCCTACGTGTGTGTGTGTGCCGCACCCCTCATAATTGCTGACGTCTCAACGATATTGTGACAAATTTTATGCGAGGCCTCCCACCTCTAGGAGCTGGCCGGCTTCACACTCAAACGTGCGCGCCTCGCTCTCCTGAATGGGTCCATGCCCAAGTGGATTCATATGATCCCGTGGCACACTGTTCAAAACAAACTGTGATTGTATGGTTGGTCAATGATACAGCGGTGTATTGCATTTGGGAATGTACTCGACGATAAGCATAGGTTGCAACCTCCCTTTCCCATGGGAGGGGGGGGGGGGTCTGGTAAGAGAAGTTCAAAATCGGAAAGGGGTGAGGAAAGGGGTTGGAGTTTAGGACCATAAGCTACCAATAAGTTGCAGATTTGTTTATGAATGCAAAACGAAAATGATGCCTTCCGTTAGAGGGCGCTATGGCAATCCGAAATGGCACTCGGTCACTCCCACTTTTTCAGCACGTGACGCTGCACCGAGTCATCCTTGCTCAGCAAAGACTTAATTTCAAACATAAGTGATCGTATCCAGTGAAGAGCGTCATGAGCAAATGCTGCGGCAAAAGCAGGTCGTTCTGGTCAACCTGTGTTAACTTTAACAGTGCCGGGCCACGCGGGGCACAGCGAGGCGCTCTTATTCATGAGCTTTAGCATTGATTTCTCAGTAACAAAAGGTTGGGTGCGCGGTGTGTGTGTGTGTGTGTGTGTGTGTCGTCTGCTTCGTGTGAGTGAGACAGAGCGCGCTCAGTGGCGTCACTTCCGGTAGGATTATGGATCCATTGACGCGGTGTACGGAGGACGTATTAACGCACCGGAGGCGCTGCCTCGCGTGGGCACGGATAAATAATCGACTCATCCAGGGGGGAAAAAGTTATATGGAAATGCCTCTTTCTGAACGGAGCATACTCTAAGAAGCGTGGAAGAGGAAGTTCGCCTCTCATTGAAACGCCGAGCAATTTGTTGGAAGCCCGGGCAGCACACGTGGACGATTTTATCTGTAACAATGATTTTCTGTTTGTGTTTTTATTTTATTTTTTTCTGTGCATAATTTGTGAGGATGATTCACTACACACATCTTCACAGATATTTATTTTGCATGCTTAATAGGGAAATCTTCCCTCTTCCTTCATTCGGACACCCGCGCAAGTAAAGTGCAGGATTTTATGCAAATTTCTTTGCCGAACTGAAATTATTACGAACCGTCTGTAATAAATAGTTCTGTTATGTAATAGGTTCATCAAGCGCTAAGCAGGTAGATTTAGTAGCATTTTTTTTACTTTTCTTGCCATGTTTTCGGGTCTTAACGTTCATCATTACGGAAACTGAAACTGCACCCAATGTAAGAAACGCATTTATGAATATTAAAACCGTACAACGTTTAAAATGCGCTAGTAAGTGCAACTTTTGTGCCGATACTGCGGTTCAAAATTCAAGGTCCGTAATGAAAGATGTAACCGGCGAAATAGATGTTATACTTCGAAAAAAGTAACGGTCGGTTGAGCAGTTTTGGTAGTGGATTCCCCGTCGCTCAGGGGCTTCCACCAGTACAGTCCGGAGGAGGGTGAAGACTGGCGAGACATGCGCGTCGTCTCGAACGTCTCCGAGCACAATCTGATCGACGTGGAAAGGAACGTCCGAGTGAGGCGAACAAACATCGCACACAGCGATAGGCCGCCCTTGCGGTGGTACACCTTGCGATGCATGCCGTGCAAGACTGCGCCCACATTCAGCAAGCGACTGGGAAAAGATGAGCTTCACTCTGACTAGTAAAAGTATTTGTACACTTTTTCGTACGTCGTGGCCTCACGCCAATTTTGTGCATGCAAAATTTTTCGAACAAGTTTGTATCCGAAAAATAGAGCGAATTCGTGCGAACTTCCGCACAAATTTGTACGAAAAGAAGCACGCATGTGCGAAATTGCGTGAGACAACGCATGCCAAAGAATTTAGTGTAGAGAAAGTAAACGCTATGGCATACTGCACTCTTACTGGCTTTGCCTGCAGCTCTCCCCCCCTCTCTCTCTCTCTAGGCGCCAAGCCAACCCAAAGCAGAAGACGCACTGCGACGCGCCCCACCTGGCCCAGGGCCTGCACTGCAAGTTGCAAGGACTGCTGCTGCTTGCCTAGCAATACTCTGGTATAAGTCTTGTTAGCTCGCCAAGGGCGGGTCCAGGGGCGGCTTCATGATAAAAGGGGGAAGGAAAATCGAAAGTTGACTACTAACAGGAACAAAATGCGACTTTTTGTGTGCATACCTTTCAGTCCTTCTGAACGTAACTTTAATTCTTTGTATACCTGAGCAAACGAAGAGGAAAAACAAAATGCAGTTCAATATGGTTTGAATGAACTCAATAATTGGTTAAATGGTTCTTTAAAGACAACTGGCATCTGGGCATTCGAATTCAACTCACATTTCAAAGTGCACATCCAAAAACAATGACTTCTTGGATTTAAAAAAAAATTATTTTTCTTCTTTTTTCTTGAGAAATTTTTTCTTTATTCAAACTTTTTTTCTTGTATGCAGAAAAATTTTATTGTGTTGAGATTTTCTTCCTTACAAAATCCAAAAAAATTAAAAATCAAGAAACTATTCAGTTACGACAGTCTGCAGACTCGTCCCGAGACTAACCGAGCACTTTTCCGTTCCTTTCGGTAGGAAACCTCCTTCATAGGCAAGCCTCGATGGAAGCCTCGACGAGCGAAGTCAGCCTTCTGATTGGCGTCGAGGCTGTCTGGTGCGACGCTCCGCTCGGCCTCTGCTTTTGCGGGAGCTCTCTATCACCGCGCTCACTGCGGCTTGCGGTAGTTATTTTCTGACCGTTGGGACCGTTTGGCGATAACAGAGTCGTATAGCGGCCTCCCCGACGAGCCAGCAGCGTGCATGGGCCCGAGGCTTGCGGGGCTGAAGGCTGGTTCCGAGAGTCGTTTTCGTCGCTCCGCCTCCCTCCCACTCATGGCGCACCCCGTATAGACGCGAGAGAGACGGAGCGACGAAGACGACTCTCGAAATCAGTCCGCTGAAGGACGCCGGCATAAACGGCTGCACGCGTAAACTGCGTGTATTTCCGTGAGTGCTCGAGTTCGAGTGTCAGGCTGCGCGCCGTTCAGATTCAAAAACGGACGTTTGTAGGCGTGGTCAGATACGCGGTGAAAATAGGCGAAGCGACCACAAATTATTGCACGCCGTGTGAATTGTTCACCATTGTGGTAAACTCGCCACTCCGGATATTTGGCCGGTAATGTCTTATCCTGGAGCAGTCGTAAGGTCCCCACAATCCATACGGCCCATTACCGATCGTCCACTTATTACGAAATATTTTTCATAGCTCTGTCCTTGTTGCTCGTTGCCAGTGCGTGCGAGGGGGACAGAAGCGAGGGTGAATCACTAGTGTACTCACGTATACAAATTTGCCCGTACTCAGTGTACTCTCAAGTTAAAAAAGGACGAAATTCACTAGTTTTTCGACCGATTTGGCGTTGAGTGCCGTTTAAAACGCTAAATAAAGCCTTAAAATGTTTTCAAATGTGAAATTTATGAGTAAAGCAAGGTATACTCACCCGTACTCATGTACTCATGTGTACACCAGAACGCAGAGTGATTCACCCCTCGGACAGAAGACGGTACCACCTACTTTGTAGACGAACCCTGGCGGCGTTCGCTACTCATATTCAAGAATACCTCGGCAAGAACGCACGCCTGGACTGGGAGGGAATTTTCCAGGATTTTCAGCAAAAAAATGTTGCAAACAGCGTGGGTGGGCCTTTGGAGAACCACAATGTTAGCGTGTACACGCTCCAAGGGGGCAAAAACTCGCGCAATCATGTGTACACGGCCCCCGAAATCACATGCGAATCATTGAGAATCACGCGAAATCAAGCAATCTGCAACCAAAATCACTAAATTCGACCGAAATCAGCGAGTTTTTGCCCCCTCGACACGCTCTCTCATGATTTACCGAAAGGGAATACGCCAAAAGTAAGATGAGATAATGGATTGATTTTTACTGTTTTGGGCACTTGGGCAGAAGGTCGTAATGTTTGTCGTCGTCGGGGCTGTTGTTGTTGTTGTTGTGGTTGTTGTTGTGGTGGTGGTTTTTGTTGTTGCCACGTTGTTTTCATCCCCATGTGCTTGTTGCAGGGAACTGCCGGGAGATGCCGTGCGACTTTGAGTTGGGCTGCGAGAACCATGTCGGTCAGATGCACCACCGCTGCATATGCCCGCACGACGCCAAGCCCGCGCGGCAGAACAAGGAGTGCAGCCGGAGGACCGTGCGTAAGTCACTTGAAATTTGATCCGGGAAGCGATAGGATGAGAATTTTTTCGGGCATTTTTGAGGAGAGACAAAAAAAACTGTTGGAAGGGATGATAAATTCAAAAAGCATAAGGAAAATTTTGAAAAAGTCTTTAAAAGTGTACCGTCACTCTGAAGAGGGTTTCTGCGACTTATCATTTTCCATTAAAATAGAAAACAGAGCCATCTTACTTTATATTTCTTAAACGAAATGGAATTTGAAGACAAGTGAAGTGAAACTATAGTCAGCATAAAGTGTCCGATACTATTGTACCAGGTGGGTCACGGACCCCGTGTGAAATGGTTACTATGCAACCCGCTCGGAGCCCTGCATCCGGGCTTGCCTATGCGACAGTCGGCAGGCGAACGGGAGAACTAGGGGTGCCACCCGTCTTGCCCAGCCCCAGTTGTCGTTCCGCGGACACCTCGCGGCCTCCGCGAGGGCAGTCAGCCGAGGGTCTCGCGAGTCCTCTCGCGGATTCCGCGAGTCCTGCCGCGGGCTTCGCGAGTCCTCGCGGGCGTTCCGTGTCCTCGCGGCCTGCCCTCGCGAAACCCGTGAAAGGACTTGCGAAGTCCGCGAGAGGACTCGCGAGACCCGCGGCGGACTGCCCTCGCGGAGGCCGCGAGGTGTCCGCGGAACGACAACTGGGGCTGGGCAAGACGGGTGGCACCCCTAGTCCTCCCGTTCGCCCGCCGACTGCCGCATAGGCAAGCCCGGATGCAGGGCTCCGAGCGGGTTGCATAGTAACCATTTCACACGGGGTCCGTGACCCACCTGGTATTTTGTCAACTTTTATCTTAAGTTTTAAAAGTTTTAAGTTGAGTTATGATTCGTTTTACTCTAGATTCATTAAAATACAAGTTGAGCTTTATACTTTTCACAATCTTTTCAATAGACGCATCCGGACTTAGGTTGAGCTGGTAAATGCAATGGTGTACCATTCTAATACATAATAATAAAATGGAAACTCAATTTGGAGATGAGTCAAAAGTTATTCCTTCCTTCCGCTTCCTGGGTTGGCTCACGTCAGCGAGCTGTCAAAGGTGTCTGGCTCACTGTGTAGCGCCTGTGAGGTAGGCCCCGCAACACACAGGTGTCGAGATGGTGGCCTACCTTGCCCCCTGACGGAGTCCGGACTACACTGTGACAACACAGTGACTTCGCGTCGACAACGTAGCCGGAGGGAATGCACTCCACCCTCGGCAGCAGACCCCCAGTTGCTGAAAAGACGCCAAGTGCCTCTCCATTGCCGCCGAGCGTCGCTTTGCGGAGCGAATGTCCACAGGGGCGAGGTAGGCCACCGTCTCCGCTCCGGCGTGTTGCCTGACTGGTGGTGGCCTACTGGCCGGGCGCTTTGCTCGACCTCCGCTCACCGCGACGTGGAGGACGGAAAGCGGCGAGCAATAGCATTGGCAAAGGCAATGGCTAAATCAATGGAAATGGCAATAGCCTAGCAATGGCAATAGCAATCGAGGCAGGCCGGCCCGCCAGACAGCCGTGAGCAGCGGGCAGGTATGGAGCGAAGAGCGGGCGCCAGACCGCACAGTGGGCCGGTGGAGTCGGTCAAAATCCCAGACGCGGTTTGAGCTCCTGAGTAAGCGAGCGTGGGACCCCCCCCCCCCCCTTTCCAAAGGGATTCCTCGTTCGGAGAGAAATCCATCGGTGAGATGACACGTTCGGTTCGAGTCCTGTTTAGTGACTATGAAGGTTAAAACGCGTTTACTCTGACCAGAAAACGAAGAGCCCTGGGTTCTCGCGGTCGAGGGCTACCTGCAATGCTAGCCAAGGCGGCAGATGCCATAAACCGCGAGAACTCAGGGCTCTTCGTTTTCTGGTCAGAGTATAGAGTTTTGGCCGCCGACGCCGCGGTCCGCCGTGGTCTTGTGAGGAGCGGGCGCTGTCCGCGCTGCCTCGCAGCCGGACTCACTGTGAGGCATTTTTTTTAAGAAGTCCGATCGTGGAACACGACCGATGCCGATTTCCTCCATTTTTTGGTCAAAGGTAGTCCTTGTGGGTCTAAGAAAGGCCACAAATTTTTTGGGCCGAAATATGCACCGTTCAGATTCTATGGGCAATTTTCGTTTTCTCTGAACACTTTTTACATAATATGGCCAAAATTGAAAAATCACCTTTCTGAGGCCTCTATGCACTCGATTGAGCTCAAAATGTGGTATCTTATGTAAAATCACGCGAGAAACACGAATCCGGTGCCCGTTTGTTGATAGGACAACCCAAACAGATGTTATGACTGTTTTTCAGGTTTTGTAGTGGTTTTTACTTTTCTTGGGGTTTTGGTGTTCGGCATCGATTTTCGCCAATCCGATGAGTGGATTTTATAGATAAAGGACCAATCTATCATACTACGAGATAAAAAGTTTGTGTACGCCGCGTGAAAAGCAGTGGCGCTGCAAAAATTGAAAAACCGTCATTTCTGGGTAGTTTTAGATCAGATAAGCCACCTTTCGCGTGACCGTCTCCGCCCCATATTCAGTCTAAATATTGTCCCAAGTGATGTCAGAGTTGGTGTGAAATTTCACCGCTGTAGCTCAAGTAGTTTGGAAATGGCAGCTTTCTAAAGTTTTGCAATCACGTAAGGCATTTACTTTAAGTAGAATTGCGGTAAATGTGAAGACTTGTCACAGATCGGGTAATAAATGAGATAGATGAGTGCGTCAAAGTTCTCTAAGCGTAATTTTGGACAAGGAATCCGATTTTGCCGGTACGAAGACCCTAGGTGTACTCTAAAACTACGTTTTCGTGCAAACCACATAAAAATGGCCTTTTTTCCGACTTCAGAGTTCGCCTAGGGTCTTCGTACCAGCAAAATCGGATTCCTTGTCCAAAATTACGCTTAGGGAACTGTGACGCACTCATCTATCTCATTTATTACCCGATCTGTGACAAGTCTTCACATTTACCGCAATTCTACTTAAAGTAAATGCCTTACGTGATTGCAAAACTTTAGAAAGCTGCCATTTCCAAACTACTTGAGCTACAGCGGTGAAATTTCACACCAACTCTGACATCACTTGGGACAATATTTAGACTGAATATGGGGCGGAGACGGTCACGCGAAAGGTGGCTTATCTGATCTAAAACTACCCAGAAATGACGGTTTTTCAATTTTTGCAGCGCCACTGCTTTTCACGCGGCGTACACAAACTTTTTATCTCGTAGTATGATAGATTGGTCCTTTATCTATAAAATCCACTCATCGGATTGGCGAAAATCGATGCCGAACACCAAAACCCCAAGAAAAGTAAAAACCACTACAAAACCTGAAAAACAGTCATAACATCTGTTTGGGTTGTCCTATCAACAAACGGGCACCGGATTCGTGTTTCTCGCGTGATTTTACATAAGATACCACATTTTGAGCTCAATCGAGTGCATAGAGGCCTCAGAAAGGTGATTTTTCAATTTTGGCCATATTATGTGAAAAGTTGTCAGAGAAAACGAAAATTGCCCATAGAATCTGAACGGTGCATATTTCGGCCCAAAAAATTTGTGGCCTTTCTTAGACCCACAAGGACTACCTTTGACCAAAAAATGGAGGAAATCGGCATCGGTCGTGTTCCACGATCGGACTTCTTAAAAAAAATGCCTCTTTGACAGTGCAGTGACTGTGCTTTCCTTTGGCAGCGCTGGACCACCGCGCGCCGCCCATCAACGTGCTGCCGGTAGGCGCGACGCCGGGCACCAAGGCGACCACCTCGAGGAGCGGCGCCTCGCCGCCGTCCACCGTGCCGCCGCACTTGTTGGCGGACCGAGTCCACGACGCGGACCTCGGCGGCCACGGCCTGGGCCACGGCCTCGGACACGGCGGCGGCCCCGTCACGGCCGTCAGGGGCTCCAGCGCCAACCAGCTGCTCACCTTTGCGGGCTTCACCATGTTCGGCGTCGCCGTCGTCCTGGCCATCATCGTGGTGGTGTGCGTCCGCAGCCGCTACACTCGCAGCAGGAAGAACCAGGTAGCCGTCAGAGACGCCATGCGCCACGTCTTGTTGTCCTCCGGCAGGTGTGAGTGAGTGAGTGAGTGAGTGAGTGAGTGAGTGAGTGAGTGAGTGAGTGAGTGAGTGAGTGAGTGAGTGAGTGAGGAAAATAGAACAGAAGTTCCGTAGTAGGACAGGTATGGGCGGTCCAGGCAAATTATTGACCAGACATGTTCCATACTTGGCACTTCGGCCTTTCTCACCCTTTCTTGACCGATGCGGGTTTTGCAGACGCCGCGCAGCCTGAGCAAGGGCCCGCTGGGCTCGGAGCTGTTCCTGCCCAACCCGCAGTACTCCGTGGGCCTGACGTCGCTGGGCGACGCGGCGCTCGCGGCGCACGGCCAGCAGCCCGTGGTGCCGCTCATCGCCCGGCACGCGCTCACACTGCACGAGAACATCGGCGAGGGCTGCTTCGGCAAGGTGTTCAGAGGTAGGCCCAGGCCCAGGCCGGTGGGCCCATGCACACAAAATGTTACACTGAGAATGAAAAAGTCATGATCAATACCCAATTTAGGGGGTCAGGAAGGGTGTAGCTACCTACATGGCTCCATAGTATTATGACCCAAATTTGGGTGATAAAGAATTCCTCGCCCAAAATTAGTCATGATCATGACTCTTAGTCAAGATTTGACATTTTTGAACGCATGACATACCAAATGTGATGTTTTTATTAAGAAAATAACATTTGCTACGGCACAAGTTCCAAAATCTCGATTCTTGACTAAGAACCAGCTGTCCCATTTTTACCCCGTGTCCCATAATGACCCCCCCATAATGACCCCAACTGACCCTAACTCACTCAATTGATTGGAAATTCGAAAGCTTACAGACCTTTTAACCCCAAAACGGGCCGAAACAGTATCAAACCCCATGGAGGCCGATTTTCCAAACTGGGAAGGTTCCTTTCGAATTATTTTGTTTCGGTCTCGAAACTCTTCATGTGAGGAGTGCATTGTTATGCAGCCGTGGAGACGCCCGCCTCGCCGAGACAGCCCCACCAGATTACAGACGCCAGGAATAAGCCCTTTTGTCCGCCCCGCCGCGTGCGCGGGGAATCGAACCCGCGACCCGCGATCTCACCGACCGTCTGCTTCTGCCCAGCGATTCACAGGGGTCGTTCCGTCGCTCTGTCTCTCTCACACCTTTACGGACAGCCCCATGAGTGCGACAGAGACGGAGCGACTCTTGCTTCGTCGCTCTGTCTCTCTCACACCCTTACGGACAGCCCCATGAGTGCGACAGAGACGGAGCGACCCTTCTGAATGGCTGCTGCTTTCTCCGCAGGGTCGCTTCGTCGCTCTGTCTCTCTCACACCCTTACGGACAGCCCCATGAGTGCGACAGAGACGGAGCGACCCTTCTGAATGGCTGCTGCTCTCTCCGCAGGGTCGCTTCGTCGCTCTATCTCTCTCACACCCTTACGGGCAGCCCCATGAGTGCGACAGAGACGGAGCGACCCTTCTGAATGGCTGCTGCTTTCTCCGCAGGCGAGCTGAAGAGCGCGGACTGCCCCGTGACGGTGGCCGTGAAGGTGCTCAAGGAGAGCGCCACCCGCGAGGCCGAGGAGGACTTCATGCGCGAGGTGGAGGTGATGAGCGCCTTCCAGCACCCGCACATCCTGCGGCTCATCGGCGTCTTGCCCAGAGGTGAGGCACACTGTGAACGCTGCGTTGGGGCTGGATCCAGCTCGGCTTGGGGGGGGGGCAATATTCTAGACGGGTTTTTAGCTCCAGAGTCACTAAATGGGACTCGAACCGAGCGTGTGAACCCCAACACTGGATTCCTCTTTCTGAGAACAATCCATTGGTGGGGTCACACGATTGGTTCGAGTCCCATCTAGCGACTCTGGAGCTCAAAACGCGTCTGGGATTTTGACAGCCTCCACCAGTCCTCTGGTCCACTGTGCGGCCCCGGGGGCAAAGGGCGACTTGTCGCCTACCTTTCGGACTGATTTGTTTGTAAACGATGCATGACTTGAGCGTCATGGCTGCGCTCCCGCTGCGCACCAGGCGCTCCACTTAAAGTGGAAATTCCGTGACTGATTTTCCGAAGATAAGCTAAAAGAAGCACAAAAGAGTCACTGCGACAAAGGGCTGTTTGCATCCTCCATCTCTTCGCTGTCGTTTGCTGACGTGCATCTCTTTCTCTCTCTCTCCCTCTGCAGAGCCGCAGTCCGCGCCCTGCATGGTGTTCGAGTTCATGCCGTTCGGCGACCTCACGGAAGTGCTTCGCTGCTCCAGCAAGAGTCCGTGGATGCCGCCGAGGCCCGGACTGCCGCCCCTGTCTCAGGTCAGCCACTCTGTTAAAACAAAGGCAGCGAAACTACGCTCTGAAGCGAGGGGTCGCTCACGGTCGCTCAGGAGTGTGCATTCAGCTCAGGAGTGTGCACAGGGTTACTGATTACCAATGATTACCTACAAAAATACTCAAAAAAGCTCTATGATTTTGGCCATCTAAGAGCAGTTTTGGCCTATTTTCATAAGAACCCCCCCCCCACACAAATCCGATGAAAACAGCGAAAATAGCCAGTTTTGACGTATGATTACGAATGGTTTTTGGACGAAGTGTACACACGATTACCAGAGTGGTCGACCCCTCGCTCTGAAGGGTATAAATAAAGTCACTCGTGTAAATTTTGTCAGAGGGTCAGAAACATGTCTGAAATCCTGATCACCTCTGAAAGCTGAAATTCTGAAAACTTATGCTGATATTGATGGCATGAGTTCCGCATAATGTTATGTTTTCAGCTTTCAGAGGTGCGCGAATTTTGATCAGGTTTTCAGACACGTTTCTGGCATTCTGACATTACACGAGTGGTTTCAGCGCCCTTCGAGAGCGTGAATTGTTCATGCCCTTCGAAAGAGCGTGAATTTGTATGGGAAATTTAGGAAAATTTTTAATGCCTTTCCAAAGACAATAAACGATCTGTTTCCGTCCGCAGGAGGCGCTGCTGGGCGTGGCGCTGCAGATCGCGCTGGGGATGCGGTACCTCGCCAACCAGCGGTTCGTGCACCGCGACCTGGCCTGCCGGAACTGCCTGGTGGGCCACAACCTCACCGTCAAGATAGCGGACTTCGGCATGAGCAGGGACGTCTACACGTGCGACTACTACAAGGCGAGTAACGCTCGATAAGGGGAGGGGACAACAAAGGGCGCCTCGCTGCTGCTACCGCTAATATTGGTGCTGCTGCTACTGCTCGAGGGGTGACCCACTGTAAAATCTTTGTGTACAATGATTGTGTGAATGTGCAAGAATGTGCAAGATTTCTGGCGTTTTCGCCACACATGTTGCCTACTTACAGGCGTTTTTGCCACCTGAATGTGGAATGTGGTCAAATTTTGTACAATGAATGTGGGAAGCTGTTCCGGTGTTCCCCCCTCGTCGCTGCTACTGCTGCTGCCACTGGTGTGACTTCTGCTGTTGCTTCTTCTGCTGCTGTTGCTGCTTACTACTGCTGCTACTACTGCCGCAGTTGCTACTGCCACTGCAGCATGCTGTAGCTGCTGCCACTGCTACTGTTGCTACTGCCACTGCTGGCTGCTGGGCACAGCTTTTCAATTTTATCGTCACGGCCGGCACGATAACTTTTTGACCGGCCTGCTGGGCGCGGCGGAGCGCTGGGCGTTGTTCCCGCCAACAACAGCGACGCGCGGCACCGAGTCGGCGGCGCCCCTCCACGGAATTTCAGAAAAAAAAATGGGAGGAGGTCGATTTAAGTGTTTATCTCTGTTTAGTTCTCCTTATCCATAACGGAAAGTGAATAACAGCTCACCTGTCGCCTGTCCCCAGTCGGTGATATGAATTTAGTTCAAATTTACAAAATTAGAAGATATCATCCGGGACAAAATACCGCTCTGTTGATATGGAAATCACCAAAACTCTCGTTTGAAGCTCATCATTTTTTCTGCTGACAGGCGGCACCCGCCACCAAAAAAAAATTGTCTAAAACTTTTTTTTGTGCTGCAGATGGGCGGCACCCGCGCGCTGCCCGTGCGCTGGATGTCCCCCGAGGCGCTGCTGTACGGCCGCTTCACGCTCGAGTCGGACGTGTGGAGCTTCGGTGTCGTCCTCTGGGAGGTGTTCACCAGGGGCAAGCTGCCCTACTACGGCCACGCCAACGATGAGGTGAGGAGCACTCCAAGTTATTCGAGAACGCTCTGCAAACTCAACAGTTTACTCTTCCTTCGGCGTGCACCCCCAGGAGAGGTAGTAGTCATCAGAGGAGTGCACTTATATGGTGCATGCTGCTAGAAGTGCACTCGTGAGTACACTCCGCAGAGAGTATACTGAGTACGCTTTTGAGTTTGCTGAGCATCTGTGTGGTCGAAAAACGTCCACCACTACCAGCACCACCTACGCCAGCACCACCACCACCACCACCACCTACCACCTACCACCAACACTTACCACCTACCACAACCACCAAAGTCAAATCGCCCAGCAGCATGTACTACTGCTAGGCACTGGAGCACGAAGGGTTGCCTGCCTTCCAGGCGCCAGCCCTCCGTCTGTAGAGTCCTAGAGTGGACTCTATCCGTCTGAAGAGGTCGCAGCCCCTCATTTACCAGTGTACCGCATTCTTGTTCGGGTTTCAAAATTAAACTGAGGACAACGTCACGTTTGGGATTTCCCTGTGCATGCAGTGCAGTCACGCTCCAGGTGGAGTGCGCCATGCACTCAGTGCAGTTGATGCTGAAGCCTCGAGTGACTCAGAGTGACTCAGGCTGCTGAATGTGTCACGTCACGCGTTCACCCGAGGGGGTAACCACTCGCGTAATACCCTGTACACAAAAACCGTGTATTACGCGTAATACACGTGATCGTACTACCATTTGTGGGTCAAATGTGCCAAATTTTGGCATTTTAGGGCCGTAATACACGTGTAATACACCCGTAATACAGCGTAATACCGAGTAGTCTGTACACGATTTCGTGAAGTGTTTACCCCCACGCGCTCACCCCTTCCTCTCTCGGCCCGCAGGCGCTGGAGCTGGTGCTGCGCGGCGTGCTGCTGCAGCTGCCGGACGACCCGGACTGCCCGCCGGCCGTGCTGGACCTGATGCGGTGCTGCTGGCGCACGGAGCCGCGCGACCGGCTGCGCTTCCCCGAGGTGTGCTCGCGCCTGGAGGAGGCGCTGGAGGCGTCGCTGCGCGAGATGCGCCTCGAGTCGGACGCGCTGGACGCGGAGCTGCCGCGGCCGCCGGGCTTCCCGGCAGTGTACCCGGACCTGGGCATGGACCTCGGCATGGACCTGGCGCTGCCCGCCCTCCCCGACGACCTGCTGCTGCTGCCGTCGTCGGCCGCCGCCTGCCCCAGGGACCGCAGGGACGCCGGCCGGCCCGACGGCTGCGAGGAGCTGCAGCTCGACCCCGAGAACTACCTGCTGCCCAGGGTGCCGGACCCGGAGCGCGTCGAGTACATGGAGCCCATCGCGGACTAGGCGGGCCAGTGCGTCACGCTCACCAAGTCAATTGCTTTACTGTCCCTTTAAAAAGAGGGACTGGGGAGGTCACAGGGGCGGATCCAGAGACGCGTTCAGTGGGGGAAGGGGGACGAGGCAAGTTGCCGCCCACTTACAGGGGGAGAAATAGTGTGACTTTTTGCCTACCTGTCTGGGGCTTTGCCGGCTCGCGACGCTTGAACTTGAGAGGCTAGACCACAACTGATCCTTTGCCGTTCGGGCCCGGTAACTGCCATGCTTGCATTGCACAACATGACACACCGTCCGTACAAAGAGCAGGAACCTTCCCCGTCACCTCCCCGTGGATCCGCGCCTGGATACAACACTGCCGGACTGTCGCTTTGTTGTGGAGTGCGGTCGTCCTAGTCTCACACGAAGTCGTGACCACAGTCTTTTCTTAGAAACAACTGTAAAAAAAAATTTTTTTCTCGAAAAAAGAAAATGGGGAAAGGTATGACAATGATTTTCTTTTCTCAGGGTTACAGCTGTATATTTATTTTAATTTTTGACTGAGGGTAGGAACCCTGTACATACTGAAATTGAGCATGCCATCATGTAAAAAAGATGACTTTGTAACATTGTGCATATTTTTGCAACTTATAATTATTTTAATGTCTTCTCCTAAGACTTACAAAACTGTACCTGATACACAATATGCAAAATGTGGAGGATGTGTCAATATATCATTAAGTAATTTTATGTCATAAGAGGCTGCAAAGGCCATTCTTGAAACAGGGTCACATCATTGGCCAAACCAAAATGTAAATATATTTTTCTGTAAATAAAATAAATTGAAAAATGGATAACTTTGTGCCGTTGGAATTGAAACATTTCGGGAAGAATCACTACAGCAGCAGTCTCCTAGAAATGACCTCACCCTTACTTTTGACTGATCTCTTACACTAACAAAGTGTACGATGATTCAATCAAATGTGTAACACACTGATTAAAAGATTTTTGATTACACCTGACAAATTACATTGTATATTTGGAAATGCTATTCAATATCACAGATAAAAATGGTTTTGGAATGCAAAAGCCCTGAAGGGCAACAACAACAACATAAAAAAAGCTCTTCATAACAAATTATGCTTACATAAAATCATAGCAAATATTTTTTTAAAATGTACAAAAACTATTACAAAGGTTAATCTTAGCTACGACTGGGCAGGATAGATTCTGACTAAATCTTCCATAGTTGCAGGGTAGTGAGTAACTGGACACGTTGAAGTCTTAATCAGATGAGTACGGATACAGCGATAGCAGAACACCAATCTGAAACACATAAGTTAAGATAAGTCTTTGCTATACACTGCAACTTGTATACATATGTGATTGATTAATACTTAAAATTACGAACCCTGAAACACTAAGAAGAGTTTCAACCTTCCAGGGGTTCATGCAAATAGGACACAATCCACCAAACCGTTCAGCATGTTCTCCAATCTGTCAAAACAGATGCTGTTATTATGTGAAATAGAAACTCGGAAAATTAAAAGATTACCATATTTTCCAGCTGGACTTTACCGGAGGAGGGTCAGGAACTGGAAGTGCAGTAATATCAGTGCGTGTCTGCTCTGAATGCCACCATTGCAAAAACTGGATGAAGAAAGCCGATAGTTCAAGTCCTCGAGTGAAAACTGACCCGACAGTCTTCATTGATGGAATAGTGGCTCTACAAATATAATAATTTGATTAAGAGAAGTACTGTTTTCAACTATAAATTATAGTTTTACTTAAAGGAACGTACCTGAAGCTGCCAGAAGATATTGCTTGCCACATTTGTGTCCATGAGCAGTCATTTTCTTCATCTGGTGCATATGACAGAGCAACCCTTGCAATTGCAAGGGCAGGGGAGTGGGTGTTGGAACGCCCAGACAAATAGCGGAGATATTCTACTAAAGTCCATAGCTCCCAAAATAGATGAAGCATTTGGTGGAATTTAATTAGAGTGTCACGTCCAGTCTTGGGCCATCCCTGCAAATTTGAAAAGTATACTTCAGTAATTAGAGAAGACATGAAGACATGCATGGTACTAAGCACAGGAAGATCGAGGGCAGATCTTGGGGAGGGGCAAAAGACCAAAGCCCTGCCGTTGACTTCAACAAAGCCACCTGAAAGGAAGGCAAAGAGCCACCCTTTGAACGTGGCTCTAGTCCCAGCCAATCATGTACGTATGAATCATTTGATTACTTGGCCCCTCCCTCAGGCCACCTCTGGATCTGCCACAGAGCCAAGATCAAAGAGAACCATACTCACATTTTGAGGAGCAACACCATCAGCCTCCTCTAATTGGTATCTTACAGATAATTCTTCTAGCTTAGTCCTAATGTAAGGAAAAGCAGTCAAAAAGAACAGGGAAAGCAGCCACTCTCGCCTTGGTAATTTTCCTGGTAGGATTCCTGCCTTTAGGCAGACACGCTGTAGTCCATAGAACGTCTCAGCAAATGACCCTCCTGCAAAAAAACGAAGAGAAACCAAAATCATTCTGGCTTTGAAACAAAGTAATTAAGAACACTGTCATCTTAGTAATGCAACTGTGAGCATACTTCTTTAATGAGACAATTGGCACAAACAACTACACAAGCACAATGGGGAAAGGTACACATACCGTTGTAGGAGAGGTAGTGGGATTGTAGGACGCCGTTAAAAACCAAATAGACTTCTTCAAACCACTGAGAGAGCCAGCCATATCGTTCAGGGTTGCGGGCTACAAAGAACTAAAGTTGAACATTGGGTTAGTGTTGCAAAGAAAAGTAAACAAAGAGTAGATCCGAAAAAAATATGTATTCTAAGGAACGACAAAAAGGACCTTTCCACTTTTTTTTTTAGTATGACATAGCACCTTTACGTGGGTTAGGTTTACCTGGACAACTCGTTTTGCGGCTGGTTTAAAAGTCGCGGTGAGCGTGTCTTGTGCTACAACTTCAAAAATCGATGGCTTGTTCAACACAGTTGCTGTAAGATGAGCACCCCTTTCTGCCATTCTAACAAAATCCGAAAACTATTCATCAAATATCGGATGTGTTAAGTCCTCAGCAGACGACGGACTGTGGCTTGTATACATTGAGAGTACCACCCAGATAGTGACAAATACCCAATCGGACAATTATCTATTTTGAGTCACCTAGGTTCAAAAACATCTAAAACACAATAAAAAAGGTTGGATTTGATTCAGAAAAGTTCTGTGTTTGTATTTAACTTGGAAACCAAAGTAAACCCCACTGTTTACTGATTGCAGTTTCAGCGCTAGAAGGATGGTAGCCTCTACCGGGTAATGGCAGCGTCCGTCGTCTGCTTCCATTATTGACCAAAACGCTGGAAATCCGACATTTGGTCCTCAAAACGGTGTTTTTGTTGCATTTATCCGTCTTGACATGCGTCGAGTCAGCTTCCTCCGTAATACTCTGCAGCTGCTGAGCCCTGCTAGAAGTCAGGGTGGTTCCCAAGCTCCACAGTCGGCGGCGCATGTAGTCGTTCGCTGTTATGCGGGTGAGGTTACGATAGCTGTGCTTACTTTAAATGAACCGAGCGTACGACTGGCTGCAATGAATTTTGAATGAACCTTATCTTTTTGGTTTAGCCCCTCCAAAGAGGTTCTACAAACACACAGGAGTTCTTAGCTGTGATGGTCAGTATGAAATCACATTGGATCAACGGAAACTGAAAACGCCACAAGGCACAGTGTTTCGAGTGAAGAGTGAACCTTTAGCCCTGGCTGTGGCTTTGGAATGGGACTCACAGAAAGACAGAATTAATCAGAGCAATATGCACCTTGTAAGTTATCTCTGAGCTGTATCAGTTCATGAACTCACTTTGCAACAAATCTAAATAAACTTAACGATCATATCTTTTTTTTTCAGTCCAGTTTGTGCAACACCGCTATTGACAATCCCAACCATTTAGTAAAGTTTGATGCTGTTCAGCAAATTTTGTCATTTTTAGAAACAGACACCATTCTTTTCCAATCAGCAGATCAGGATACTCCTGTAAGTCCTTGCCCTTTTCAGTTGAGTTCTCTAATCCTTTTGTTTGCTCTCATAACACTTTTTTTACTATCTTATTTGTGCCTATTTAGAATGCTAAAGAACTTTATGACATGCAAGTGCGGGAATGGAATCCAATAATAGAATGGTTTAATGAGAGGTTTGGAGTTAATGTGCAGCCATCAAGAGACATTGGTGTACCCAGCATCAGTGATGAAGAAAAGGGAAAAATTCAGCGTTATTTGTTGTCTTACAATGATTGGGCAATTCATGGCAAGTCTGAGGTTTCAAACTTCTGTTCATTGTTGCTTGCAGATGTCACATGACTTATCTCTTGACAATGTTTTTATTCAGGATTCTGCTTTGCTGTGGAAACCATCAAGTCAATTATTTTAACATTGGCCTGTGTTGAGCGACTTATACCTGTTGAGAAAGCTGTGTTGTTGTCCCGGTTGGAGGAGGAATATCAAGTACGTAAACTTAAAGTCTTTGTTGTATGATGAAATGCATGATTTTAGTAATGTTCTTTCGTCTTTTACAGAGTGGATTCTGGGGTCGAGTAGAATGGGCACACGATTTAAATCAGCAACAGATGCAGGCTCGATTGGCTGCTGCTGTTCTGTTTATTCACATGAACTCGAATTCTGTGGCTTTGCGGCACAAGGATCCTTGAAAACCAGTCTAGTTATGTGATTCTAAAAACAGAAGAGGCCCAGCAAAACTGTATTGACTTGAGTACATAGTACTCTCCAAATTAATATTTACAATAAAGAAAACTGATGATGGTCATCGGAAGCCAATACCCCTTTTTGAGAAATATTTAATAAAACTAGAATGAACCAAATAAATCACCAGTTCTTTTCTTGGGCACAAAGCCCTTCTCCTTTCACAAATGTCATTAAGGAACTGCAGCAACATTTTAATGCTGTCTTTTCAATTTTTTTTTTTTTGGTACCACTCATTGATCTATGTGTTAAGTAGGCGTACCATGATTGATTGTTTCTTTTCCTTTTTTGAAGGGCCGCAAGAACACCCCTGGCCAATATAGGCTTCGCCTCGGCCAAATAAAGAAGATCATCTCTCTCTCCTTTTTTGAATAAAATTTACATGTTGACCTTTTATTTGTGAGTCACATTTTTCGTGTGAAAACATGACAATTCTATTCATGTCTGTGATGACATTGTTTATTTCATGAAGAGGGGGTGATAATGTGACAGTTGCATGAAGTTTTGGCGAAGGGCCAGTCATGTCTCCAGCATGACAGGTCTCAAAGGGGATCAGATTTCGCGCCCAGACGCTATCCAGGGGTACCAACAATAAGGATGCTGGTACTTTAAGCAGCAGTCGTAACGGAATGTAGCGATTACCTCTATCATCTGTAATATTGTTAATAAAAAAAACCTTGCTGGACCGTTTGTCAGTCCTCCAGACTCAAATCGGTCCTCGCATGACGTGCCCGATGTTGGTACTTCATGGCGGGACAGCAAGGAGAGAAAACAAAAACAAAGCACAATTTGAATTTCCAAATGTCTAATTTATTTTCTAAACAGACTTCATATCAACATTCAGAGACGTCAGATTGATTAACGTTTCTCTTTGTCAGTCAGTTTGAGATAAACTTGTATACTTCACAAGAAAATGTTTGAAGACGATGATGACTTCGAAATTGACGAGGTATTTCATCTGCATTTTTTTCGGTCAGAGCTTAACCTGTCTTGGCAGGTGTTGACTTAAACCTGTTTCATGTGATACGTCTTTTGATTATGCTTTCTCTTAATCGAAATGGCATCAGCGACCATTTAATGTGTCGGGGGCACATCTTACTATTTGTTTATAGTGTTATTTACTGATCATGACAGGAATTCTTGGATGGGGTTTTTGATGCCGAGAAGTCAGCCACACAAAGGGATGTATCCAATGTCTCACTAGATATCACACGAAATGAGCCTGAAGATTCCATCAATAATGCTCTAGAACCATCACCAGTAAAGAGAAGAAAATCTTCACCCAGTAGCTCATCGTCATCTTCTAGTGTGAGTGTACTCTGACCATATTTCTTTTTGTATGTCTGTTATGGTTTATTTCTTTTTGTCTATATCACCTGTGTTTATGGCCTGACAGAGCATGGATGCGGCTGTGCGAACAAGTGAAGAAAGTGCTCGTCTGATTGCAGTAGCAGCTCAAAGACGCCAATCATCACAAAGTCTGTTCAGTTCCACAGAAGCCCTGTAACGTTGTTTTATCTTTAAATTGTCTGTAATGTTGGTGTTTCATTTTCCAGCAATATCAGGCATTCATTCTAATCAAGACTCACATGAAAAAGATGTTGACAAAGAAAGCACACCATCTCAAAATGAATTTGGCTTACAATTTGGTAATAACAAACAATCCAATGCCAGTGGTCATACTTTTTTAAAACCAACTGCCCCCTGTGATAAAGGCATTGGCGTAAACAACTCTCCAGTATCTAGAAGTTCACCCCGAGGCAGTCTGATCTCTGAGACCTCATTTACTATGAATACCTCGAGAGTAGTTCGTCAAAGGAAATTTCCAGGTCCTGCTGGCCTACTTCCTGACAGAGGAAGAACTCATGTCCAGGTGTGAATTCCAATGGTCCTTTTAATTTGTTTATTTCCTTGATTTTAAACCTTAATTACTGGAAAAAAAAAAACCTTTGCTCTTACTTACTGTCTTCTTATCTTTCAGGGACAGCGACCCAATTTTTCTTCACTGTTAGATACCTCTGGTAGTGACTTAGAAGATGAGGTAAATGTTGAAGCAAATGTAAACGCTATTTGATGTAGTACAGGTCCCTGCTCGAGTGTCTACCCATTTTTCGTCACTGGTTTCAGGAGCCCTTGTGTTCCCAGTCAGCAGCATCTGTACTGGAAGATGGACCTTGGTCGGCATTGCAGAGTGATCTTGCTGGTGAAGGACATAGTTTATTGAGACGTTACACCATTACATGGGTTAAACAGAAAGCAGCTGCTCGGCAACTTGTGGGACAGAAAATACCATTCTTAGCAGCAGTTCTTCACAGCATAGATTGTTCCTCCCCAGATCCTTGCGTTGTTCTAAGAGATCAAACAGGTAAAGCGCTATATTACTCCTAAATAATTTTCTCAATATTGCTAATTGTTTTATTTTGCTTTCTATTTGAATAATAATTTTATTGTGTGAAATTAAGGTGAAATTCCAGGCACACTACACAGATCTGTATGGGACAGTTTTGGTGGACAGCTGGTTGCTGGCTCTGCATTGGTGCTTAGATTAGTTGGGGTCTTAAGCACAGGCATTTCTGCTCGGCGGCATTACCTCAATATTACATCCAATAATATAGTTACAATTTATAGTTCCCCACTTTGTGAATCATCAGTGCCTGATACTCGCCACAGTATGTTATTTACATTTGAATGCTTTCATGTGCTGTTCCATGGTTTTATGGTTGTTCTTTTTACCTTTTAATGACCTTGCAGTAAAGCTCAATTTTTTTCATGTTGCAGAAGTTCGAAAAACAGATGTGCACAAATGGACTTTAACGCAGCTTTTGCAAGCTGCTGATGGTTGGGAGGATCAAAGGAAACGTAAGAAAGATGTCAGTACTGGTGCTCATCCCACATTGTTACAAGGAACCACCAATCCATTTTCTTCGAATATGCTGAACCGAAACAGTGGAACTGCCAGACCTCCAATGCAGCTCTCTAGCCATAGTAACAATACTCCTGCTGTCAATACTGGGAGCTTGTCAACACGACCTCCAGTGCAAAGTGCAAATTTCTCCCGTGGTGCACCACACTTGACTGTGAGTGGCATTGCGAGGCCACAGATGCAGTCTGTGAACAGAGGTTCTGTTGCATCCTCTTCACCTCAGGCTGCATCTCAAAACAACCCTCTTAGGCAACAGAACAGTTTCCCAAAGCCTGCAAACTGTGATGCGCCAGCCGCTCAGGGGAGATTTGTGCCAAAAAGACCAACATTTTCTGTTGGAGGACAAGCAAGGACAGAGGCCATCCCCTGTTCAACATCTTCTGTTACCCAAGGCAACCAGTCTACTGTTAATACCTCAAAGGATTTATTTTCAGATGCAGATGATATTGATATTAGCAGTGTGTTAGATGGTATTGATTCTGAATCGCTCTTTGGAGAGTTTTGAGAGTTGAATCTGTTTGCTCACTTTAAAAAACTTATTGTAAAATTAAAATGTTTTGTTAATATATCTTATGTTATCTCTTTCACATTTTCGAACAATCAACAACCTGAGCACTTTGTCCCACACGGCAAGTGTGTAGTTTCTTTACTTCAAGGCCCAACCCCTCTTTCTTAGTTTGTTGTGTGTTTCTGGTTGAGTTCTATTGAGTTCCTATGAGATGTCATTTAAATCCTTGTTGTCACACCATTTTCTTTTCAAGACATGTACTTTTCTTCATCTACTTTTCTTCGTAATGTCTGTAAATTTTTTATCCCTGAAGAAAGGGACACTTATAAACACCCATTGTACTTGTTACTTTGTTTTATTTGTTTCAATGACAGTTTGTTCTGAAAGAAATACTTATCAGGAAAACAATCCTCTTAAATCAATTACACTATCCATTCTTGACAAGATCGCTGTCTTTAACTCACTCAAAACTGATATCAGTTATTTAAGTTGTCAATTCGACTCAGAATATTATCCTTGATCAACATACATATAAAATACAAAATATAACATTTATATATCACAATTTGCCAGTAATATTAATTAATCTTCAAAGATGAGCTCTCATCCTACACTACAAAGTTCCATACTTAGCAAATACCACTGGAATAAAAGCTACGTATCATGCTTCCCATTCTCAAGCTAGGTATGGGCTAAGGATTGCTTTTTCACAAATCATATTAGAGATGATGCTTATTTTTAACAGATATAGTAGACAGGAATATAACCAACCAAACAACTATCAGATTTGATGAGCCAACCAAAAGCTTTTTCATTTTAACTTCACTATGGCTCCATCTTCTTTACTCAACATCCATTGCAATTGTGTATTTACAGAAATAATCTCAGCTTAACAGCTACATGTGATGCAAAACTGCAATGAAATTGCTTGGTCCCCACCTTCCTCCTATCCAAACTTAAACTTTGAATACCACGCATCAACAGTACATGGCACATTGTATAAAAATGAATTATTGAATAAATAACCTTGAAAACAGATGTACAATAATACAAATAAAATGGATTAGTGGAAAAATGTGTTTACAATCATGACAAAAAGAAAGTAAAAAGCAATGCCAAATATACCAACAAATAGTATACCAATGATAAGGATAATTTGATGCAAAATTTGACAATTTGTAAGAGAGTTTTCAATCAAAAACAGTCTTGACAGGAGGGAGACCAGAGAGTCTCAACACAATATAAAATGTATAATTGAACATTTTTCACTACACTATAAAGACAAGAAAGTTAATGTAATAGACCAACAAGAGAAAATAATGGTTTAAAATGGTCTTGGTAAAAAGGGTTAATATTAACAACTATAAAACTGTACAGTAAAAAATACATAATAACAATAATAGGGAAATTCCTTAATGGGAAGGGAGCTGCTATTTAAGAAGAAAAATCATACATAAAAAAATGAGTAACATGAAAGCCACACCCCTTTAAAGATGGGCTGTGTTTCCCCTTCAGCTGAGGAATCTAGGAAGATGACACACATGACTATTCCACTTATGAATATTGAGATATGCTACTACTTAGACGATACAGAATTCTTCCATAGTTGTTGTCGTAAAACAGCTACAGAGAAAATCAGCATACAGTCACAGCCATTAGATGCACAACTTTCATAAAGTTTAGAATATAGAATACAACCGAACAGTACCAAAAGAGAAGAAATAAAACATCAAGTTCAAACAAATGCCACTAGTATTTAGTGCACCTTCAGTCAATGTCTTTTACTTGAAGATAAAATCAAAACGTAGAAGAAATGATACACAAAATACACTCCTGTCTAGTTTTGACTTTAAGGAAAATGTAAAAAGTAATGAATTGTTCTTTGGTACATTATAACAATAGGTATTTAAGGACATTGAAGAAATAGTGAAAACTTAAAATTGTTTCTTTGTCAGCAGAATTACCTCAAACACTTGGTTTATTGTCACTTCTACTATGGCACTGATCCTAGCTAATACTATTCATTAATGCTGTAAATATGTTGACAGTTTGTGTCACAAGCAAATTTTAGAAAGCAAATGTTGAAAGTGAAGCACACAGTATCATTCTTTTTTACCTTACTCATTGACAAATTAAATGACATTTTATTTCAGTTCAAAGGTGTGAAAGTTATGAAATTTTAAGGGGCCTTCAAAGTGATTGTGTTCAGTTTCATTTGCAATCTCCACAAACATGTGATGGGTCAATTAGGCAAAATTACACTAAGTATTTAGCCAAAAAATAATCAAATTAACATAGTTTCATTTTCCACATCACTCAACCAGAACTGTCATGGCTGCCATAACTGCAATGCCTGCGATTAGAGAGGACATTTGCTTGAAGGACTCCCATGAATTTTTCTCCCTCAATAATTCAGGCAGCACAGTCACCAAGGCAATGTGGAGGAAGCCACCAGCTGTGAAGGGTAAAATCCATGATGTTCTTGATTCTGCAATCCGCAAGAAAAAATGTTGTGTATTAGTCAAACAAACTATGTTACCATTTAAAAATTAAAAGAAAGATGACACTCTTACCAATTGAACCACTGGCTTCACTGAAGGCTACAGCAACCATAGCACCCATGAGCCCAGTAAATGCTGTGCAGAGCTGCGCCCATGCTGCCTCCCACCGACTGAACCCAGCTCGAAGCAGAATGGCAAAATCACCAACTTCGTGGGGGATTTCATGTACAAGAATGGCTAAGGTAGATAGGGCTCCAACACGGAAAGAGATGAGAAAACTTCCACCAACAGCTAATCCATGTGTGAAGTTGTCAATGCTATTTGCCATCAAGTTGAGGTAACCAGACATCTGAAATATGAATGAAAAAAAAAATCATTATTTTTAAGAAGCAACAAGGGAACAGAACAGCTGTCTCATAATTGGTTCGTAGCTTACCTGTTTGCCTCCTTTAGCAAGCGTAGTTTTCTTCTTGTTCTGATCTTTTGAATTTGTGCCATTTTTTACTTGAGAATTTGTTGCAATCGAACCATTTGGAACATGGCCGTTGACTACTTTGGCCTTGCCGTTTGCCACAGGTACGTTATTGTTGTTTTCAGCAGAGGAACTTTGTTTCAAACGAGTCACTGGTAAAAGAACTGGGACATTTTCATTCTCCTCTGCCTCATCCTCCTCCTCTTCATCCTCATCGTCATCATCGGCAGGAGCAAATAATTTTTCTGCTATCACAAATATGACTAGTCCAGTCAGGACCCAACCACCCACTGAGAAAGAAGCATTAGTTGAGCCACCTGTAATATAGAATGGAACAGTTAAAATCAACCCTTATTAACCATAACTTTGAACATCACTCCTGAACAGCACCTACCCAACTTCTGATGACTTGCCCAGGCCTCAGGAAGCAAGTGAAGAAACACATCTCCCAAGAGTCCACCAACCGCAAAGCTCAGAAGAACTTTCAGCGTCCTGGCTCCAGCTGCAACAGAAAAAGAAAAATTAATTCAAAGTTCTTCCGTCAAACCACAGTATGCATCCCCCCTCCAGAAACGGGTAAAAAAAATTGACACCAGCAAACAAAATCTTTCATTATCGGCCCAGAAAAGCCCTATCAAAGATTCTATCATTGTGATTCCAACTGTGTGAAACGACGCTTCAGAAACTGAAAACATCTGACAGCGACGAACGAAACCCTTCATTTTTGGCCCAGAAAGGCCCCATCACAAGACCCTGCCTGAAACCAGGGTGATTCCACCGGTGCGAAACAATCAACTCCCGATCTAAATTTATCTTCGCCGCGCCTCACCGAAGGTGCAAGTGTAGCAATTAAAACGAACACGAGTGCTGCACGGGGAGAGGGGAAAGGGGAGAGGGGGAAGGGGAGAGGGGGAAGGGGAGAGGGGGAAGGGGGAGGGGAAAGGGGAGGGGGAGGGGTAAATGAAGGGGATGGGGAGGGAGACATCCCAATCGATCCATCGGATAGATCCCTTCAGTCAGGCGCGATCGGCGCCGCCACGTCGCGGCTGCATCCTGCATCCCCCTCAAGCCGGCCCGACCGGCCCGCGCGCGAAAGGAAAAACGGAACGGCCGACGAGCGGGAATCGAACCCGCGCCGGGGCAAACGACAAGCCGCCAGGAAAACGGTCCCCTTCCACATATTACGTCACGGTATCGCGCAGCGAGCCTCGCCTTCCCTGAGGACCTCGTCGCTCTGTCTCTGTCGCACTCATGGGGCGCGGCGTCGCGGCGCGAGAGAGTGACAGACTCGCGTGGCGATGAGAGGCCGCTCGCCCTTCCGACCAGACTACGCCGCCAAGGACACCGAGTTCGGCGTGCCCCGCCTGCCCCGCCTGCCCACACGTCGAGCAAGCCAAGGTAGGCGCCGGGCCGCTGCACCACTGCATCCCGCTGCATCCGCTAAACCAACACATTTAACCCCCACCCCACACTCGGGCGGCCAGGCCAGCGGCCAGCAGACTGACTCCGAGAGTCCTTCTCGCCCGCCGCTCTGTCTCTTTCGCACTCTTGCGGCGTCCCGGACAAGTGCCAGGGAGACAGGGCGACGAAAACGACTCTCGGAATCAGTCGGCAGCCAGCTATGCCACCAATGCGCCCCTGCCCCCGGCCGGCCATGTCCGTCGTGTCAAAATAAGACATGTCAGTGACATGTTGCCAGGGAGAGTGGCAGTGGCGTGGCGTAGGGTACTGAGAGGAGGGCGCCGCCGGCCACCGCCTCGTCCGGCAGCCCGGCCCACAGTGGGCCAGAAGACCGGTGGAGGCGGCCAAAACACTAGACGCGTTTCGAGCTCCAGAGTCGCGAAATGGGACTCGAACCGGACGTGTGACCACACCAATGGATTCCTCGTTTGGAGAGCAATCCGTTGGTGGGGTCACACGCTCGGTTCGAGTCCCATTCAGCGACTCTGGAGCTCAAAACGCGCCCAGAGTTTTGACCGCCTCCACCGGTCTTCTGGCCCACTGTGCGGCCTCGCCGCGCCGCCCGTTTTCCAAGTCAAACATGTTTGCCGGCGCGGGTCTCTAGGCCGGCGCGGCCAGTGTAGGGGGTTGGACCAACAGCGTTTATACTACACTGTGTGCACTCGGCGGGGTCGTGCGACCCCGCAGCGCCGCCGCACAGTGGATTTGCCAGAAGACCGGCGGAGGAGGTCAAAATCCCGGACGCGTTTTAAGCCCCAGAGTCGCTAAATGAGACTTGAACAGAGCGTGCAACCCCACCGAAGGGTTGCTCACCGAACGAGAAATCCGTTGGTGGGGCGGTGGGGCCCCCGTCCTGTTTAGCGAATCTGGAGCTCAAAACGCCGCCACCACCGGCTTCGCCCGAAATGCCTCTCCACGCGTTTCCGACGGAAAACTCCGCAAAACTCTCATTTTCACTGGTTTTATTGTTTACAAGAGCGGGTTACTTTACGCTCACCTCCGCGACGAACGAACGACATCTGGACAAATGACGAGCAACCCGCTGGAAAATCCCTCCAGAATGCTTAGTTCAAGGATGCGGTTCTACGCGCGTTCGAAGGAAGGGCCTTGACGCCAACCTCAACCGCAGTCGAGTCGAAGGGCCTTGACGCCAACCTAACCGCAGTCGAGTCGAAGGGCCTTGACGCCAACCTCAACCGCAGTCGAGTTGAAGGGCCTTGACGCCAACCTCAACCGCAGTCGAGTCGAAGGGCCTTGACGCCAACCTCAACCGCAGTCGTGTCGAAGGGCCGGGTTAAATCAAACCACTGATTGCATTTCGAACAAGCAGAGTCGCACCACCCATTCCCATGCGTGCCCACACTTGCTATGCTCGCGGCACCCAAGGACGGCGACGACGGTCGTCTCTCTCGCACTCGTGGAGCGTGCCGCAAGGGTGCGAGACAGAGCGACAAAACGATTCCTTCGAAAGAGATCGACAGAGCGGCTCCTTCCAAGCGCACTCCCCGTCGTCGTTACGTCATTTGTGGAACGCGGCCGTCTCGGTGAGGCGTCGCATGTGGTTAGCATTCCATTTGCAGCAGGCTGACACCGCAGTGCCGTCCCTCTCGCACTCACCGGGCGTCCCCGCAGAGGTGCGAGAGAGACAGCGCGACACGAAAACACGGCGGAGACGATGACGAATCAAGCACACATTAACAGGCGGGAAAATGACCCGGGCCAGCCGCGGCCGGCGCACTGGGAAAAGGTTGAAGCTAGCGAGGAAAGCCCCGCGCTGTCTGTGGAAGTGCAAAGCCCCGAGCCTCCGAGCCTTGAACCGGAGCTCTGAACGCCTAAGTGCCCGTAAACAATCCAAACACTTCCCGAGTATTCCCCTCAGCAGGCGCCAAGCAGCGCCAAAGCAGGGGCAGGCCCCTTCCTCGTTCGGCCCGGTGGGACGTTCGGTTCAAGTTTTTGCCTCACTGCGAAATTGAAGTACAGAAAGTCCAACAAAAACTGTACAATAAAAGTACAATAGGGATTGTAGAAAGTCAACGCATTGTACACAACCACAACACCTGTACCACAGCACTCATCATGCCGGCTCCATTGTACGACAAAATGGGTGTACTTGAAAGCCCCCCAAATTCCTGTTCAAAAAATTTTCCATTGTGTTACGTTGTTTCAAGTTATTACCTCTGGCAGCTCAAAACGCGTCCGGGATTTTGACTTGACCGCCTCCACCGGTCTTCTGGCAAATCTCCTTCGTTCGTCCGTCGCTCGCTGTCTCCCCTGTCCCCCCCCTCTCCTGGCGGGCTGCGGGCTAGGGGGGCTACCCCTGACCCATGAGTACGAGAGAGACGCAGCTACGAGGAAGCACAGTCCGGAAACAAGCCTGCTCGGGTCACAAATGCTCTGCTTTCCGGGCGCAGTGTCCACCTTTCCTCGAGCAGATAGCAATGCATCTTTCGTCTCTCTCTCTCTCTCTCTCTCTCTCTCTCTCTCTCTCTCTCTCTCTCTCTCTCTCTCTCTCTCTCTCTCTCTCTCTCACCCCTACGAAGAGGCGGGACGCCGAGCGAGTGCGAGGGAGACACACTGTACGGCTTGCTTCTGCCGGCAGATGGCGATGGGGCGCGCGGGCCAGGAGCTCATGAAGACCGCCTTCATGTCCATCTACAAGATGGGCCACCAGCCCTTCGTCATGATGGGCGAGGTCGAGGAGAGCAGCGACCAGGTCAGTACGCTCCGTCCTCGTCGCACTCACGGCTTGACCCGTCGGGGAGCGAGAGAGACAGAGCCATCAACGAGGGGGGGAACAGCTTCCCACATTCAGGAGGCAAAAAACGCCTGTAAGTAGGCAAAAGCGGCAATAAAAACGCCAGAAATCTTGCACATTCTTGTACGTACATTCACACAATATTTGTACTACGCACAATTTTACAGTGGGTCACCCCTCAGCGATCAAACGCCATTCGGATTGCTCCGGATTGCGCTCTTCCGACACTCGGCCCGCGCCTGCCAGGCAAACTAACTTAGGTACGGTGTCATTTACATTAAGGAGCTCTCAATCAAGAGTAACGAAATTGAGTCGAACCAGACGTGACGGAGTTGATGATTGAAGTACAGCGCACTTAGGAAAGTTCGCTACGTAAAAGTGCGGAGGACTCTGGGGTTTGCAGTGCCATTCCCAATAGAGAACCACCGGCGTGGGCCAAATTCGAAGCAAGGACCGGCTAAGGCCAACTCGCGCTCGCGACGTCACCGCAGTGTACCTGCAGTCGTTCACCGCGACACAGAGGCTGCCCACCCGGCGTGCGCCTTGCGTCACGGCTCCGCTAACTGCAGACCGATCCCGAGAGTCCCTTTCGTCGCTCTGTCTCTCTCGCACTCGCAGGACGTCCCGTATGGGTGCGAGAGAGACAGAGCGACGAAAAAGACTCTCGGGATCGGTCTGCTGGTACACTGGCCGTGTCGCCATGGCAACCGAAGGGCCTAACCTCGCCGCGGTTGGCCCTTCGCGAGGCTGGGCAGCCGCCCTTCCCGGGCAGCGCTCCCGCGGTCTACCCCTCTCTCTCTCTCTCGCACCCGCACGGGACGCCACACGAGTGCGAGAGAGACAGATGGCACCGTTCGGAAAGCCCTTCCCATTTATCCATCAGGGCCCCGCAGGCCAGCACAGCAGCCGGCCGAAGCACGGCTGAGGAAGGACTATTGTCCCCGGCACACTGTAAAAAATTCCCTACCTTTGTACGGAAATGGCACACGGAAGTACGGAGAAAAGTACGGAACGTCCGTACTTGCTCCATTTGAACCGATGTAAACGGGTACGGAAAAAAAATACGGAAGTTCCGTAGTTGGCAAGTACGGACGGTCCAGGCAAATTATTGACCAGACATGTTCCCTACTTTTTTCTCACAGTGCAGGCTGGTTCCGGAGAGCGCCCCGCCGCTCCGTCTCCGTCGCACGCCTACGGCTCTCCTCGCGAGTGGGAGAGAGACAGAGCGAAGACGTTCGGAATCGGCCTGCAGCAACGCTCCTCCCTGGGGGAAATTATGGTGAAGC